GCAATCTTGACGCTAAGACTGACCAAGATACAGTAGCAGCATGGAGCTGTGAAAAACAGAAAGACAACAAATTATGAGGCATTGACCACTGTGGATGTTGCCTCCAGATGAAAACAGCTGTATTTTGTAGCTGATTATCAAGTACTTTCACCGCAAAGGTAAAGGCCTTTCACCAGTGCATTCCCATCGGCCACCATCCCCAGCTCCAATCCCTGCCCTTCTCCTTCAGTATCCCCCATTAAAACTGCTGGCTTACCTTTGATTTCTTAACTTTGTGCACACACATGAAATGTTGATAATCTTTGGAAAATGACAGGATTTCCTGTTGTGGGAAACAAAGCATAAATAACATTCATTCCTTCATTTTCAGGAATTTTAAACATGTGGATTTAAATGAGTTTTATCAAAAAGTTGCTGAATTTATGCTAATTATCAGGCAACTGAGGCAGAGCACCTGGTTACATAATAGAGAGAATGAAGAAAACACAGTAGGCTGTAGCCTTCCCATAAGGTTACCAGGAATATGCCTAAAAATCCTGTCTAAGTACAATGCAAATTGTCGGTTAAATGGTGTAGATAAAAATTCCAAGGAAAGGTATAAATCACAAAGAATGGAAAGGAATAAGGAATCATCATCAGACAAGGAAGACATCTGGATAAGGATATAGACAGTTGAGTAAATATGGTATAATTGAGAAAAAGTTCATGGTCAAGCATGTTTTAAGTGGAGCTTTGTGCCAGACTGTATTGAGATATAAAGTGTTAGGTCACAATGAAACCTACATGGCAGAGATAATTAATCCACTGTATTTATTCCAAACCTGTATTTATTCATCACTGAGAATGTCCCTGTCACTGTTCTATTTTCTGGGGTCAAATAGTCAATGGAACACACAAGTTGTGTGTGGAAAGTGGCGATCACACAAATAAGCAAGCAGAGAAATCAGAGAGCAAGATAATGTCTCACCATCATGCTGTGAAGGAGGCTGGGTGAGAGGTTGGCTCAATGGGTAAAGTACCTGCTCCTAAAGCATGAGGACCTAAGTTTGATTGCCAAAACCTACTGAAAAAAAACAGGAGCTATGATGGGCATCAGGTAACTGGCAAAGAGGTCAGACATGAGATAGGCATATCCCTAGAGCTTATGGGCCAGCTAGCCTGACCAATCAGTGGCCTACAGAACTCATAGAGATCTTATCTCAGAAAATAAGGTAGGGAGCTGTTGAGGAAGACACTAGATTTCAACCTCTGGCTTTCACTTGTATGCACATGTATGAGAACACACACACACACACACACACACACATACTTACATAAACACATCAATGTACCATATGCAGAACTGCACACACAGTGCTCTGAAGGAAGAGAAATCACTGTAATAGAATGCAGCTGGCTGAACTCTTTGGATTAGTTTATTCAAGTTTCACAGCATTTCAGAAACTGTATAGGCTTCTTCCATTTTAAGAATTATTTACATTACACCAAATTTACCTCAGCTGAGGGGAGGGGGGAAGAGATGGCTGCTTCTATAGATTCTTATCAATTATCCTTGCTGTAGGTATTATATGTATGCAAATTTTACTAGTAAGAAAATCAGATAAACTTGGTAGTGAATGCCTGTAATCCCACTACTGTAAAGAATAAGGCAGTCAGATAGTAAGTTTGAGGGTTGTCTAGACTACACATGGAGATCTTGTTTAAAACAAACAAACACAAAAGAAAACAAAAAGCAAAATTAATGAGACAATTTACATAAAGAAGGTAAAAGGGTGTGTAGGTTTGAGTCAGGATCTGATTAAGTGGGTATGCATTGATAATCCTTTATTTAAAATAGGATAGTTTGCAATCAGGTTTCTAACTAAATGCCATCCTCTATGTATCTCTGTCTCCTCCTTGTGGCCATTTTCACTTCTTTCAGATTTTATGTTCTTGTCCCTATTTCCTTTGGGTCTTTGATACCTCTGGCTTTGATCTTTAATTTTCCTTTTATAATTCTGAATTATTGTGAACACTCTCTGGGTACTAGCTACTCTAGTCTGTTCCCCAGCAGTTTTCTCTGCTGTAGACTCAATATGTGAGTGGAGTGATTGCTGAAGAGCTCAGAGAGGGTATTACTTCCTAGAACACAAAGTAAGTATTTATTTTAGTGCAAATAGACTGCTATATTTATAGCTGTGTTCTATTAGTGATGTATGCTATGCACTGAATTTATATATAGGAAAGAAGCTATGTTGAAAGTGATTCTAAGTTGCTTGGGGATTTTCGGTAGAGTTTTAATGTTTGTGTATGTCCTTCCATGTGTACACATGTGTGCAAATATCTGTGGAGTCTGTAAGAGAATGTCAAATCTCCTGGAAATAGACTTTTGGGAACAACCCCAAGTTCTCTGAATGACCAGCAAGTGCTCTTAATTTCAGGGTCATCTTTCCAGCCCTGTGTCAGATTTTTTCTGATTAAATTTGTTATTTAAAAATTTAATACAAATATATAATACATTCAAGTCACCCAAAGTCCTATGACAGATTATTTCCTTCTCACCCCGTCAACATTCAAATCCTCCTTAAAGATCCACTTTCCAAATTCATGTTTCTTTGCTTCATTTTGGAACACACTTAGTTTAACCAGACAAATAATCATGGATATTTTGACTGAGGACCTGTGAGCATAGAGTTCTTGGTTTACTGACATGAAGAAACTCATTTGTTTCTTGATACATTAAGTTTGAAGTCTTATAATATCTCTAAACAACATGGAGATTGACAGCTGGACAGGGTCAACGGCGAGATGTCTCATCCCTTGTCATTGGCCTAGGGGGGTTCATCTAAGGATGAGTTTAACAGACAAAGAGGGCCAAGAGCCAAGAGCTGAAGGCTGGCACATAACACTTCAAAGCCAATCAAGGATCTGTCTTAGTTTTACTTCCTGTTGCTGTGATATTTAAGGTTTTTGTTTTTTTTTAAATTTCATTTGGTACATTTAGGTCATCTAATACAATTTTCATCATTTTCCTCATAAATTGCCATATTCAAGTTTTATTGCTGTGAAAAAACACCATGACTCAAGCAGATTTTGCAAAGCAAAACATTTGCCGGAACTGGCTTATGGTTTCAGAGGTTTAGTCCATTATGGTCATGGTGGGAAGCATGGCAGCACGCAGGCAGACACAGTGTGGAAAAGATAGCGGAGAGCTCTACATCCTGATACTCAGGTAGCATGAAGTGAACTATCTTGAGCTTCTGAGACCTCAAAATCTACCCCCTAGTGACACACTTCCTCCAACAAAGCCATGCTTACTATGACAAGGCCACACCTCTTAAGAGTGCCGCTCCCTATGAACCTATGGTGGTCACTTTATTCAAACCACCACAGTCCACTGCTATTGCTGACTATTTTCCTTGACCCGTTGTTAAGATATTTAGTGTTGCAAGGTGAATCATTTTTACAGTGGCCTTACTCCAAATTTGTTGGTAAGAAAATTGAGATATTTTATGTCTAAGATAGGGAAAGTAGAGACAAGTTATATTTCAAAATTTTTAAAAGAAATATAAATGGATGATAGCTTAAAGAGACTTCAGGTTCTGTGACCATTTAGACATCCTTGAAACTAGTGACCACACAGATACCTGATTATATCTGTACTGTTTATGTCCACAGCTATAAACACCTCCGGTTTTTTATGCTGAAGAGACATGTTTTCTGTAAGAGTTTTGACTCTCCTGGGGGGAAATGACTGTGAGCTGTCTTCAAGGCTCAAAAGACATGAAGAATTAGAAGTGTAAGTGTGCCTTTGCCTCCTTCTGCCTGCTTTTTATCACTTTTATGTGAGATTCCCCTTTGTATGCTATAAATAGTCTTTATTACCATTGGTTAATAAAAAAGCTGCTTTGGCTTATGTCAGAGCAGAATATAAGTAGACAAAAAATAAAAAAACCCTAAACTGAGTGGCCTTGTCATAGTAAGCATGGCTTTGTTGGAGGAAGTGTGTCACTAGGGGGTAGATTTTGAGGTCTCAGAAACTCAAGATAGTTCACTTCATGCTGCCAGATTATCAGGATGTAGATCTCTCCGCTATCTTTTCCACACTGTGTCTGCCTGCGTGCTGCCATGCTTCCACCATGACCATAATGGACTAAACCTCTGGAGAAAAAAGGTGGAGTCAGGCAGATGGTATATAGTTGCTAAAAGAGAGAGTTGTCAGAATATTACTGGTAGGCCACAACCTTCTGGTCGTAAACAGAATAATAGAAATGGGCTAATTTAAGATGTAAGAGCCAGCTTGAAATATACCTAAGCCATTGGCCAAACAGTACTGTAATTAATATAGCTTCTATATGATTATTTTATTTGGGTCTGGGCTGCTGGAAAGAAAAAAACAGACTCCATTGACATCACTTTCAGTACAGCAAGGCATTGTTTCAAATGCTTGTGCTAGGTTTTTACTCAACCACATCGACAGGAAAGGGACTCTTTCCCATACCCAATTTAAGCACCCTATAACTTCTTCCTCATGCCTCAACAACTTCCCATTGCTAATTCTCAGTCTTTCTCCATCTCTGTGTCTTTCTCCATCTCACATACACACACGCATACACAGATACACACACAGATACACACACATATGCATACACAGATGCACAGACACACACACACGTGTGCTTCTTATTGCACTATCCAGGCATGTATATGCCTGCTCTTCCTATCATCACTCTCCTGGGAATGTGATACCACTGAGGACAAATTAGATCCATTATAGAATTAACTCACCTTACATACCTGCACAGAATAAAACTGGATTGTTTATTGATTATTCAAACATTCAGAGTTCCCTAAGGATCGTGGGAATTCCAACATGAAGCCTTAACGCCTGCTTGCCTACAAACACATACTCTTGGCTCCACAAGGAACAATGCACTACAGTTGAAAACCGGCAACATTCTAATTTTTAAGGACAGTTTCTGATTTCTCTCACACTACAGAGAAATTAACTTTCATTCTGTCCTTACAAAGCAGCAAAAGGGACTGTCTTGTGTCAGTTATTTGTCTGTGCAAAAGCCATCTGGCCTTGAAAAGGAACTGCCTGTGCTGGGCCTGAAGATACTGCAACATTACTTTGTAGACTCATTCTCTCCTATGATGTCTGACGAAGTGACCTATGCAACGCTTATGCTTCAGGATTCTGCAAGAGTGGGAAGTCATCAGGATAGAAATAACCTAAGAAAAGAAGGTAAGAGCTCAGAGAAAGCAGACTATAACCGTGGAAATGGCAGCTGTTATGTGTTTCTAGATGTGGGCTTTGACACTAAAATGGAGGGGAGAGCATGCAATATAATCCCCCAAATAGAGACAAACAGTCCTTGAATAGGTCAGCGGAACAAGTGTCCTTAAGAGAATACGTAGGGCTTTCAAGACCAGTGTGAACCATATGGAATTACTGTCATGACCTCGTCACTTTAAAAAATAAAGTAGTGGTTATGTCAGAGATTGAGTTTCAGAGTGAGAGATTTCTATTTATAACCGTCCTTGACTCTAATACCTTGTTAGCAATGACAGAGAGATGTTCTTATATAAACCAAAAAGGATTCTAAAGTAAGTAGAGAAAGCTTTGCTAGTGTGTGCAATAATTTAAGGAAGGAGTCAAGTATAGATAAATCACAAGTGAACAAAATCTACCTTTTTCTTTTATGCTGCTTTTAACTTAATGTCATTGGAAGCTTAAGTACAACTCAGAGCATTTATCAATAATAAATTTTATCTCTACATATCTTTATTTAAGAGTAGTCGTAAAATAAAGTAAATAAATCATGATTTCTTTAGTTATGTAACTACAGATGGAAACACTGAAGCTCAAAGAAGCTATGTAGTTTGTCTGAGTTTAAACAATTATGTGGTGGAGAGAGTCTTCCCCTGTCAGCTCATTCCCTTATGCCCAGCTGGCAGAAATACCAAGTCTCTGGAGTCAGAGACATCATTAAATATATAAAATTATTGTCACTTCCAAAAGTTGCATTACAGTCCTAGTTGTTATCCTGAGTCATATGAATTGCTTTCTTCTGCTACTTGGATTTCTTTTTACAGTGTGTGTGTGTGTGTGTGTGTGTGTGTGTGTGTGTGTGTGTGTTAGGGAGAAGATATCCAGTACCTAGCATAGAGTTCGTGGTGTTTTCCAAAGGAGAGATGATTATGCATATCAATCTTGTTCTGTCTTGTAATTCTCATTCTAACCTTTGGGGAAAGAGGTCAGGAGATTATCCTATATGTACTAGCATACTCACCTAGCAAAAATATTGTGTGAATCAAGAAGAGGAAGGTGACAGACATTTTTATGACAAACATGATCCAAGAGTTGCCTGCTGGTTTTAATATCGAGAAACTTCCAGGGTGGGAAAAACAACCCCAAATGTAACAGCGTGCTATGGTTCTACTTTCTCATCCCCCACTGGCTTCTAGGATACCCAGCTCAATCCTCCATTTGGCGAGGAGCAGCCTTGAGCCTGATGACCCTCTGCCTGCTGCTGGTGACGGGACTGGTGACCTTGGGGATTATGTGTAAGTAAACTTGTATTAAACAAAAGAAAAACAATTAGAAAAACTTGGTACAGTATGCAAATTCAGAAAGGACGTGGCTACTAGTATGCTAGATTGATTAAAAAAGATTAATCATCGGCCCCAGTCACTGAGCCGCTGCCAAGGACTCAGCGGCCTCCCCGTGGAGCCCCCTTGCTTCCCAACACTCCGCTTCCCCACTTCCGCCCCCGCCCGCCTTCTCGCGCGCAGCCGCCTTCCTCAGGCCATTTCCACCGAGGAAAAGGAATCCTATCGTATGTCTGCTATTCAGAACCTCCACTCTTTCGACCCCTTTGCTGATGCAAGTAAGGGTGATGACCTGCTTCCTGCTGGCACTGAAGGTTATAGCCATATAAAAATTCAACAGAGAAACGGCAGGAAAACCCTTACAATTGTCTAAGGGATCGCTAATGATTACGATAAAAAGAAACTAGTGAAGACGTTTTAAGAAGAAATTTGCCTGCAATGGTACTGTAATTGAGCATCCAGAATATGGAGAAGTAATTCAGCTACAGGCTGACCAGCACAAGAACATATATATGCCAGTTCCTAATAGAGATTGGACTGGCTAAGGACGATCAGCTGAAGGTTCATGGGTTTTAAGTGTCTGTGACTCTAAAGCTTAAGTGAGGATTTCCTTGCAATGAGTAGAATTTCCCTCCTGTCCCTTGTCACAAGTTTAAAAACTTCACAGCTTGTATAATGTAACCATTTGGGGTCTGCTTTTAACTTGGACTAGTGTAACTCCTTCGTGCAATAAACTGAAAAGAGAAAAAAAAGATTAATCATCACAGACACTAATATCTCCCTAGATCTATTCATTTATTTTCTATATGAAAGTTTTCATTGATAGTTATGACTTGGACATATGAACACAGAATCTTCCAAACACTTCTGCTACCCCAGATCTATTTCATTCTCCAACATACCTTCAGAAACACTGGCAAGGGTCCTATTTCATTGCTGTGGGAATTATACCCCCCTCCCCCCAGTTATTTTTGTCTTTCGATGAACTAGATCATACTGTATGTGGACTCTTTTTTCTTAGTTATTGGTTAAAACTGGGAAGCTCTTTTCTTAACAGACATATCCATTTGATATTCTTTGTGAAAAACAGAAAAGCAAGCTGGAGATATATTTGCAGAAGAACATGCACTTTGTTTATCTTGAAATTTAGCAGACGGCTAGCTAAATCTGCCCACCCATGAACTTTCTGGGAAAGAGAAAGAACTAAAGTGGCAACAACAACCTTATTTGCCTTATTAAGGAAAAACACACAGAGAAGGAAGAGAAAGGGTGGGAATTACCTCATACCTAGCAGGCATGTATCTTACAGTGGAAGCCACTCCCTAGCAGACCCTAAGAGAAGAGTCTCTAGGCTCACGAGGACAGTTGCAGGTGGATTGAGGAGGGCATTGTGCCTTATGGTAAATGGAAAGCCATCTTGAGGAGATGCGGGCTATAAAAGGCTGAGTGTGTGGACCAAAGAGTACCGATGTGGTCAGCACCCACTTTAAGGTGACCTGTAGTCAAAACTGTATTGTAGGATGCTGTATGAGTTACTGTCTCTTGATGGTGTGACAGTAAAAGCAGCTTAAAGAAGGAAGGGTTTGTTTTGGTTCGTGGTTTAATTAAGATGGAATACAGTCCCTCAGGGTGGGAAGTCATACAGTAATTGATCACAATACATCAGCAGTTAGAGAGCAGAGGGAGCTGAATGCCATGTTCAGCCTGCTTCCTCCTTTATATGTTGCCTAGGTCCTCAGTCCAGGGGATGGTGCTGCCCACACTCGGGGGAGTGCGGGGGGCGGTTAATTTTAGTGAAACCTCTTTGGAAATGCCTGTACAGACACCTCCCAAAATTTCTCTACTAGGTAATTCTATACCCTGTCACATTGAAAATAAAGATTAATAATCACAGGCACTAATGTCTCCCATGCTCTATCCATTTATTTCCTTTTATGAAAGATTTCAGTGATAGTTATGATTTGGACATGTAAACACAGACTAATTATTTATCTTGCTCTTTAGAAAAGAAATCAGATGCTCCTTTTGTGGTAACAGATGCTCAATAAATGCTGTTAGGAGAATATATCTTTTATCTTTAAAAGATGTACACTCAAAAACAAATTCAAGTGAAATGATGTTGACTCATCATGAAATGAAGTCTAATTTGTTTTTGTTTTTGTTTTTTTGCAAAGTGCAACAATGTTTTTGCTGCAGTGGTTGTTACAATGTGCTGCTGAGTCTCTGAAATAGCTTAATAAAAATAAAGGTGTTTTTGAATAAATATATGGATCCAGAACTAGAAATAGTTAGAATGGTCCAAAAGCAATCTGGAATTATTGGCAAAACCCTGCCAAGGATGAAAGAAAGGGAAGATGAGGGATGGGAGGGTGGTGGAGGTTGAGCAGGAGGATCTTCTGCCCTCTACAAGGAAGGGAGAGGAGAGAAAGAGGGGGGGAGAGGGAGGAAAAGAGGAAGAGAGGGAAGAAGGAAGAGAGAGGAAAAGAAAGAAAGTAAGCAAGCAGGAAAAAAAGGAAAGAGGAAGGAAGGAAGGAGGAAGGGAGGGAGGGAGGGAGGTAGAGAGAAGAGGGAGGAGGAAGAAGAAGAGAAAGAATCCCCAGTGGCCTGGGGAGCACACTCTTATCTTAGCCTGGTGGTCTTGTGAGCACAGCAGGAAAAGTGCACTTGTCTCATTATGTTTTACAGTTTTACAGATGTCTAATGATATTAACTCAGATTCAGAGAAGTTAAGTCAACTTCAGAAAATCATCCACCCACAGAAGGACAATCTGTCTGAGTCACTGAACATCTCTACGAAGGATCCCACAGAAGAATCTCTCCAGTCCCAGATCTCTGCCCTCCTGGAGAGGCAGGGACAGATGGCTACCAAGCTCTGCAAGGAATTCCTCATCCACACTTCTGGTAATTTGACTTACATCTGTAAAAAGACCAGATCAAATCTGTCACCTTGATCAAAGTACCCATGGGCAGCACAGCCTCATAGAAATTGAGCCCTCTAGCAATCCCTTGACCATGCCATCTTAAATTTATGAAGGGCAAGGAAATAAAGATGTTTCTTTAATATTTTGGAAAACACAGGAGAATTTTATAGTCATTCCCAAATGTTATCAGCCTGGATACTTAAACCTCTCTGTCACTTTATCGGTAACTTTTAGATGCTCTGGTTATCATACGAATATTAAAAGCCTGGACCTGCAAAAAGACTCTTTATTGTCCAACCCCCAGCAAGGGGGTTACTCTGCTGCCACTCAGATCTGTTGTCTGTATGCATGACTTAGTTTCCAAAGGCTTCTGCAGTCACTCCACAGAGTGTGTGCTTTGAATATAATTTCCTTTTCAGACCATAAGTGCAATCCTTGTCCTAAGACATGGCAGTGGCATGGAGACAGTTGCTACTATTTCACAGTTCATGAAGAGAAATCCTGGAGCGACAGCAGAAAGGACTGTACAGACAAAAATGCCACTCTGGTGAAGATTGACAGCATCAAAGAAAGGGTATGACTGACTCTCCTCCTCAGGGTATAGAAATTACTCACACAATGAAATCTGCTACATGATAAGAAACTAATGGATTTTGAATGAGAACTAATAAATGAATTGAGGAACTGGGCATGAAACCCGGGACACAGCACATGCTAAGAAAGTGATCTAACCACTGGACTATTCCCAGACAATAAAGGAATTTAATAAATTTTTTATCTTACCTCCTCAAACCAGCAGATGGCCTCTCACTTGTTCTGCTCTCTCCCTCCCCCAGGATTTTCTTCAGACACAGCCATCACTCACTCTCTCGTTTTTTTGGCTGGGATTGTCCTGGAACTCAACTGGCAGGCACTGGCTATGGGAAGATGGTTCGTCTCCCTCTCCAACCCTGTAAGTATCTAATTGTTGGGGCTGGAAGGTAGTACTTCCAGTCAGTGGGTGGAAGCCCGTGTGTGTGTGCTGTTGTTGGGAGAAAAGAACTAGCATTTGTGTCAGGTCAGAGGACAACCTGCAGGGATAAGTTCTCTACCTCCAGTCTGTGGGTTCAGGGAATCGAACCCACTTTTTGAAAGAGTGAGAGTTGCGGTAGGGAGCACATTGAGGGCTGCTCAGCAATTCCATCTATTTGTCAAACTCAGAGCAATGCACTAAACTTAATGTGCTGTCTAGTTGCTTTGCTTATTAAGCATGTACATATAATAGTATGTTCAAAGTACTTTGTAAATATACACCTTTGAAGGATGCACGTTCACATCTTGATTATATAATAAAACTATTATCATAGCGAGATTCTGTGACATGCCTAAGATCGCCCAGTTCAAAGGTTATCAAATCAAGACTGAACATTTTAGATACTCATTCACTCAGCTATTTTATATTCTAGCCTTTACAACCTTCAAGGGTGGTGTTTGCCATAAGGACATTGACATAGTACTCATATTAAATAATTGTTGGCTGTTTTCTAACAGAAAGTAAGTATGAACTACCTGATTAGTTTTGGGATTAGCTTCAGGGTGCAGACCACCAATTAGGTCACATGGCAAGAGTCCTAGGCAAAATCTGCTGCTGCAGAGTCTCAGTGACAATGTTGAAAGTACACATCACAAGTACACATCAAAAGTACACATTCAAATTTTGGAAAGCAAAGCTTTGAAACTATTAAAATTTATAACAAAATAGAAGTCAGAAAAAAATTTCATAGTCTTGCCCCATCTGATCTTCTGTATTTTTCAAAAGACTCCTAAGAAAGAGGTTCAAATTCATTGGGAGCCAGAAGCTCAGGTGCCACTTGAAGTCATGCTGGGCTTACAGAGGAAGCCAGCGTGTGTGGGAGGGGTGGGTATTGCTGTGGGTTGGGAGAAGAAAACTAGCGTTTGTTTCATCTACAAAATTGTCCTATGGGATAAAGCCTTATTTTCTTAAGAACAATTTTGATTTGTTTTTACTTTAATATTGAAAAAATATTTTTATATTAATTTATTTGGGGAGGTCAGCGTTGTACGTTTCCAGGGTAGACATGTGGAGGTCAGAGGACAACCTGCAGGATTAAGTTCTCTACTTCCAGTCTGTGGGTTCAGGGAATTGAAATCAAATCACCAGGCTTGGTAGCAAGTGCTCTTATCCACTGAACCATCTCACAAACCATTTGGATTTTTTTTTATCAAGAACTGGAAAAATCACTCATTGATTCAGAGCCTGTACTACTTTTGTAGAGTACCTGAGTTCAGATCCCATCACCCACAAAGTGACTTACAACCACCCGTAACTCTAGCTTCTGTAGATTTGGCCCTCTCTTACATCCTCTGATAGCACCTACACTCATGTATGCATAGACACACAGATGTACACATAAATAAAAAAATAATCTTTCAAAAGAATAAAAGTTTAAAAAAATCATGGCTTCAAAAATTTTTAAAGACTTTAAAACAAAGACAAAAATGGCAAACATCCTATAGCAGAACTTTAGTTAAATACAATAACTGTGCTTATATTTTTATAATCTGTAACTTTTACATTAAATGAGATCTGACGTCATTAATATCTCTCTCTGTTACAAGTACACAAGCCACCCAACTCGTTCTGCTTTTCTCTTCCGTGTATATTTTGTAAATTGAATTAAAATCATTTCATTTTTGCTCAAAACTGCTTGGTTTCAGCTGTGGCTCTCCAAATACCTTCAATAGCAAATAATTATATGTCTATTCTTTTCTTCCTAAAGATCCACTCCACAGAGATTTTTCTAGGACTTTTTCCATTCAAATATATATCTCCCAGGCTTTTATCATTATTTCTAGCCATGTTTTGTTAGTTCATTGTCACACTAGTAACAATGACAAAGGCTCACTCAAAACAACACAGACAAAAAGGACAGTTACTCTTTTACAAAGTGGAGTAATCAGGTGGGCAGTGCTCACAGCTGACAGAGGAGAGGAGGACTGTTAGGCAGAGATCATCCAGAACTGTGACCCAGAACCGTGTAAATGCAATGCAGATCCCAGGTTAGTTCTCCTCTCCTATGTGAAGGCAGTCATTCATCTATGGGCTCCTGTGAACATGTAGAAAAAGTGATCTATGTCTGGCACAGAGACCACAGATGATGATCACCATGAGTCGTTTAGCTGTCAAATAACCCAGCTCTCTATATCCAGCCTAGGATGACTTCAGGCTTGTGCAGCCTCTTCCTTGGATCCTGAATAAGGACTCTCTGACTTAGATATATTCAAATAGTATTATTTAATAGACTTAATTCTGAGGAATAAAATAACATGATATCCCAGGGTGAATCACTTGGAAAAAGCAGTGATTGTAACACACATTTAGGTTTGAGTCAAGAAACTGGTCTCAATTTCCTGATCACCAAATCCCATCAGTTAGTCATTTCCTCCCTCAAACTCTGGCTTGTTTTCTCAAGTGTGTAGAAAGCATCCATAGTTACATTTTAGTATAGAAAACATAACAACTTTTTACATGATATTACTTTATCTTTTTAGTTTTCATACTAAATTTTAAAATGTCAAAATAAATTATTGTTTCTAATGTTATCTGCACTGGGTGAATTCCATTAGCAGAATTCCATATTACTAATGGGAATAATAATTTCTGAGCCATATCTTCAATATTTTTCTATTTTATTGAATATTAATATAATATATTATGATCATGGTCTCCCCAGCCTTATCTCCTCCAAGATCCTCTTCATCTCTCCACTCATCCAATTCCACACCTTCTTTCTCTCTCTCTTTAGAAAGCAAACAGGGCAATAAAAAAATGTGAGCAGTGTCAGGCATGGGTTCCCGTTCATGGAGCAGGTCTCAAGTTCAATCAGATAGTGGCTGGTTACTCCCACTTGGTGCCACTACCGCACTAGCATTTCCTGCAGAGTTAAATACATTCTTATTAAAGAAATATTTTTCCTGGGATCACAATTAACTGGAAATAAAGAACTGAGATATGCTGGCACTACAGATCCTAATGTTTTGTGGGCATTGGGTTCTCACACTAGTATGTATTTTTCCTCTAAGGATAACACTTCATTCTAATTAAATTTCATATAATAGTTTTAACTATTATAATTTTGAATTGATTAATTTTGAATCAATTACTTTCCAGATTTAGTGATCAGGAGCATGCCAGGTTCAATGGATCCAGTGGTTGTGCTTACTTTGAAAGAGGGAATGTTTACATTTCTCGCTGTAGTGCTGAAATTTATTGGATTTGTGAGAAGACAGCTTCCCTGGTGAAGATTGAAGATTTGGATTGATTTGACTTTTCTAAGAGTATCAAGAAGTAAGGACCCATTGCAAACCCAAGCAAGAAAGAAGAAAGCTTTGGTATTTGAGACAAAAACTGACTAAAAAGTGATTTACTTCAACAAGCCCACAGACAAACTTGCGTCACAGAACATTCTCCACTTCACTGTCTGATCCTCTGACTTGGTGTTTTCATTATTTCTGTCTTACAGTGATCCTAAGTACCCAGGAAGTAACATGTCACTTCAGGCTGCCTCTCCATAAACACTGTTCCTTGCTTTACTCTTTCATGTGTTCACACACAGACTTGGTATTATTTAAATATTAACCACCAGACCAACATGGGCCCATGTAATGGAGCAGGTTCTAGAAGACCCCTGTTATAAAGACTTCCCAATTCTGTAGAGTTTTGAGGAAGTCCGAAGTAAAGAACCTGGAACAGCAGGGCTATATTGTTGACTTAGAAATTCTTTACTCTTTTAGAGATTATCTGAACAGCTAATCAGTCTCCATGTAGAGATTAACTCTGCTTTGTCTTCCTATGAAACTACACTACCAATTCTCATAACTGATAGACTATTTCATAACTGATGAAATAGGATGAACACTGCATCGTAGTATTTTCAGCATTTATCTAAACTAATAATATTCAGGCTATCAATTTTGTGAACTTGGTTCTATCAGAATAATAAAGATGTTTATGCTCTTATTATTAGTATGATATTTCATTTTGTTTTCTGTGAGTATGTATGTATATCATACATGTATGTGTGGATATGTGCACATGTGTAGATAACTGTACCTGTGCATGTGTGTGGAGACCATAGGAGAGCATTAGGTATTTTCCTCTATCTCTTCCCACATTATCTTTGATTTAAGTTCTCACCCTGAACTTGGACTTGGCGAATTTTCTTTTCAGCTAGGCTGTAATCCAGCCATCTCCAATCTTCTTTTCATCTCTGCTCACTAGATGTTGGGCTTACAGGTGTGTGCTTGACCATAACTGGTTTGTTACTGGGGTGCTTGGATCTGAACTCCCAGCCTCATGTTTGCTAAGCAAGTGTTCAGCACTATTAAGACATCTCTCTGTTACTGTTTTACTTTCCGCAGAGAAATACTGGAATATTATTCGAAGACATGCTACCAGAAAGTTTATTCTTTAAAACTTTTCTGAAACAGTTTGCTTAGGTTCTTATAGGAGATAAATAAATACTGTAAATCCAGGCATCAGAAATTGTCATGGAGCAAAATTACTGGTTTCGGGATATCACAAAGGATATGGTTTTGATTTTTCTCTTTAATTATTTACTAATTATACATACTTATCATCAAAAAAGTAATAATTAACTTGTGGTATCAATTTTGAGCACTGGCCTAAAATTTACTGGAAACAGTTGTATTCTGAATATTGTAATAGCTCATTGAAACAACAACTTCACAATACTATGGAGTATCTTATTATTTTTAAAATGTTAAAACTATGACCTCATTATCATATTATATGTATCCAAGAAAACTCTAGAACAAGGGAATAAGTTCAGTGTAAATATTGTAACTGTCTAATAATATCACAAACTGAATGTAAACACACATTTTAAAACACAGGTTATTACTTTCATCATCAAGTAAGTGCAAAGAAAATCTCAATTCTTACTCAGGGCTTAATCACAAGTGAAATATATACATGTATATATGCTTTATTCTTCCATTTCTCATAAGCAGGTTTCTGTCACTCATCCAAAGTAGAATTACTCATAAAACATCAAAACTCTGCCCTGACTCCCACACATTTGGGTTTCTCTTTATTCTCATGGGAAAGTTGATTTCTCCTTCTTTCCCTCTGTCTCGACCCAAAGAATCTGCTATTTATAAGCTAATCATCCTTACTCGTTATTTTGTTCCCATAGAGAGGTTATAAATTTCTCCTGGCATCTCTACCTCTTCATGCCTATCTCACAGACACTCATAATCTTGTATTCATTTGAAAAGAAGCTTTGTCTAACCTCACAGAGGCTCTGGATTTTGATAAGATCATATCACTCAACCCATTTTCCCTGCATCTTGCTGTCACCACGCCATCCCCAGTATACTTTGCAGCAATAAGGATATCTAGATGTATCAATTCTTGGGATCTGTTGCCTTTGTGTGTCAGAACACCTCAGCATTCTTGGCTGCATTCTGATTGTTGGTTTCTGAGATGGCAATTGTTCCCAGGAATTTTTCTTTTCTCTCCCTGTTCCATGATAGGTGATAGAAAGATTAATGCATGATAGATAGATAAGTGAATGATAAATAGATATTTGGAGACCTGGGGAGGCAGGACTTGAAAAATTTAATTTTGATAAACTCTGATGATATGCCATTTCGCTCTGTATGCTGTGAATATGTTTTAATTGCATTGCTTATAATGAAGCTACTTTGACCTATGGCATGGTGGAATAGAGCTAGACAGGACAGCTAAGCTAAATGCTGGGAGAAAGAAGGTGGAGTCAAGGAGATGCCATGTAGCTGCCAAAGGAGAAGGATGGTGGAACTTTACCGGTAAACCACGAGCCTCATGGTAAGATATAAAATAAAAGGAATGGGTTCATTTAAGATGTAAGAGCTAACTAGAAGTATGCCTGAGTCATTGGCCAAGCAGTGTTGTAATTAATATAGTTTCTGTGTGATTATTCGGATCTGGGCATCTGGGACTGAACACCATCTTTGCTCATACTCGGCAATGTTTATGAGCTCACAACCTGACTAAATGGCCTCAGTACAAATTTCCTGAGCAGACTGGTTGCATAAGTACTTTTTCTGTTGCTGTGATTGGAATAACATAGCCAAGGCAACATATAGAAGAAAGGGTTTGTTTGATCTTATGGTTCCAGCATGGTATGAGTTGACATAGCAACAAGCAGAAGGCATAGTAACAGAGCAGGAAGATGAACGATCATAGTACCACAAAGTCAGATGAACTGGAAGTGGAGTGAGGCTCTGTACATAAAAAGCCCTTGCCCCATTGGCATTATATTTTCTCCAGCAAGCTGCAACTTACAAACTTCCCAAACAGTGTCACCACCTGGAGGACAAGTGCTCAGATTCCCAAGCTTATGGGGGACAGTGGTGTGCCAACATGGCCAATTAAATCCACTTAAAAACCTGAGAGAAATACGGAGTTTAACAAAGCTTCTTATTTTTGCTGGTGACATGCCACAGCTCCTTTAATATATGTTTTCCTGACTCAGTGGCAGCAGAAAAAAAAGCGATGCTAATTTGAAATGCTGGCTTTCTGGGCCATACTGCCAGGACAGCCTCTGGCTCTTTCAGGAAACCAAATAATTGAATGGAGTTTGTGAGCAATGTGCCATGGCTTGCTTGGTGGCAACATGGACTGGCTGTATGTCTAGAGATGGGCATTGTGCATGGCTCTCAGAGGCAGCAAACAGCTCCACCATGACCGACTGGGCAGAGTAAGCAGTAAGTACTGCATCTCCCCTAGCAATGGTGCAGTTTAAGTTTTAAGAAGTGCTTAACATTTTTAAGAAGTGCTCCTGGACAATAAAGGATTACAGATACACAATAGGACAGATTCTGACATAAAAGACCTCTAAATGGTCACAATGTTGGATAAATGTATGTAGGCTTGCAAGAGAGAAGAAAAAGCCTGTAGAGGGTTATAAAAATAAGTAAATGGTTTAAAAAAAACACAGTCTTTAAAGACACAGTGTATAGACAGTCATAGATTAAAGGAGTACAGATAATAAAATAAATATTAAAAGTAATAGATTTAAAACAAACAAGTGACATAAAGATGGAATGTACACGGAGAGTCTGTATTCTGTATATTATTGGATTATCTTTGAATTTTTAACTGTGAAGGAGCTAATTACAGAGAGACATTTCTTTGTGTGGGCTGCTAAGTTAAACCAATATAAAGGTATCTTGACTTTAAAATTTGAGTCTAAGAATATGTTGCTTTGGAAAGGAGCTTCTTCTTTTGTTTCCACAGAGAATGAGAACCTGTGGATTGCTTTCAGACTAATATGGTTTGGTGGAACAATAGCTTTTAAAAGGTCGCCTTGCACACCCCTCAAAAATTACTTCACCCAATAAACAACACGAAGAAGTTTGTACAAGAACTATGTCCGTATTCCCAAATATTGTTTGTAAAAGTTTCTTTACATTTAAAGGAGGATATGCTATAGAGATTTGCACTGGTATGGATTTTGGTTTATTGATACAAATTTAAGGTCAATTTTGTTATATTGTGTATATGTATTTCTGCTCTTGATTAAGGTATTGTGTTTGTACAGCTCATTTAAAATGTAATGTATATTAAAATATAGGTTAATAGATAGTCATCTATAATAGTCAAACTTGTAGTCATGTTAGTTAGGTTTTCTAGATATATAGAGATGTATTTCAGTTAGATAAGTATTCTTCGAATCTTTCAGAGACCTTCAGAATATGGCATTTAAAATGCTTTAAGAATTTAGGACTCTTCATGACAGTGAGACACATCTGCTCCTGGCAGCCCCAATATGCTTCGAGAGGAAGATGGGCATCAAAGAGGCTCCTTATGGAGGTTGCTAGCCATTTGAGCAAGAAACTGCTCTTGCCTGGACTTCTTTATGGTATGTTGCATAACTGAACATGCAGGACCCATAGCGAAATGACTGCTGAAACTTGCCTAAAGGTGAGACCATCCTTCAGGGGTCCTGCTTCATGAAAGAATCTGCCAGACATTCTGTAGGGCACAGAAGAAAGTGACTTACAGACTGCCAATAGAGATGGAACTGTCTTTGAAATTTCTTACTTCTTGGAAAAGTCTGTCAAATACTATGGGCCTATAGGCTAAAGACTGAATGCCCCAACAATCCAGAAGAACATTGAGTGACTCCCAGGCTGCCAGATGTCTCTGTCATTTCTAGAGTTTTGGAAGTTGCCTACAATGAACTTATTATTTACTTAGGTGATATTATATCCTTCTGGAGTCTTTGATGGATTAAAGAATTTATAGTTATAATTTTACCTAGTTATGATAAAAATAAAGTAGATATAAATATTGTAACTGTAATTCTTGCTTGATACCAGTTTTGTTATATGTAATTTTACCATGCTAAAGTTAAAGCCTTCCTTTTTATTTAAACAGAAAAGAGGAAGTTATGTGGAATTCCCCTCTGTATGCTGTGAATATGATTGGTTAATAAAGAAACATGGCTTGAGCCTATGGCAGGGTGGAGCAGAGGTAGGCAGGGAGGATAGAACTGAATGCTGGGAGAAAGGAGGAGGAATGAGGGGAAGCCATGTAGCCCCCACCAGAGACAGACGCTGGACAGAACTTTACCCAGTAAGCCACAGCCACATGATGATAAACATATTAATAGAGATGGGTTAGTGTAGGATATGAGCTAACCAGAAATATGCTTAAGTTTTTGTCTAAAACAATATAATATGCAAATAATATGCAACAATATGGTTTCTGTGTGATTATTTCGGGGCTGAGCAGCCAGGAACTAACTAGTGGCCTCATTGCAACACTGGAAGTAGAGTGAGACTCCGTAGATGCAAAGTCCATGTCCCACTGGTGTAGGGAGCCACCTGGAGGCACAGGTGGTCCTGCAGTTTGGAGGTATACCTGGCTTGGCCGCGTGGGGCTGAGCACCCTTGCCTGCACCCTTGCTTGCACATGCTCAGACCAGCAGAATGGCATTAACCAATCAG